TATATAATTACCCTGAAACAATCTACTTACTAAAAGGAAATGAAAAATATGTATGTAATCCGGGAAACTCTCTGAACTCGTCAATGTGCTCTTTGAACCGGGCCGTCAAATCCCTGCCCCTTTCGCATTCGAACACGTGAGCAGCAAAGGAACTTACCAAAAATCGTGCTTGCCCAGAACCAGGGGACGGCACCGCAACGTCCAGCCCATCAAGCTCCGTCAAAGCAACGATTTCCATGATTGTTTTAGCAAACCCACCAATGTGTTCAAAGTTGATCATATTTCAGGCTGAAAATCATGAATCACTGTGATGGTGTGAGATAGATGTGACAGAAGTCTGATGGCGATGCGCCCCATGATACAGGATGATATTTTTTTCATATTATTGACTATGAAACCAATCTCAGTCATTTTTCTGCCAACGAAACTGTTTGCAGTGCCCGCATACAACAAAAGTAACAGTAGCGGCTTAATTTGAGTGAAACTGCCGCAGACTAATGCAGCAGCATGGGTCAGAGACCTTGCCTCGGCTTCATGCGAATTATCTGGAATTATGTCGCAATTAATTCTTTGCATTTCTCTTGGAATTCTATGGAACTATATGGATTATAAGGAATTCTTGGACTTCTGTTGCATTTCGTTTTAAAACTATATGAAATTCTTGGGACTGCTTGGATAAATCTGTCGAATTGTATGGAATTGCTGGAATATCCTGCAATTCTATGAAATTGCATGAATATCTTCGTACTATCTGGAACTCTATATTTCGATTTCTTTGGAATTCATGTTAGGTCTTCAAATTGGAATTCAAATTGGAATGAGATGCTGTGGAATTTCCGTTGCAAAACTCCCAATGCATTCCAGGTTCAAGGAAAAAGTCACATTGGATTCCATGTTCATGGTAAATTCTGAATGGATGCCAGGTAACTAATACCAGGTCAACATTCTAGATATAATTGATTCCATGTTCCAAGGTGCAAAACCCAATTCATTCCAGATAAAGGTGAAAATTTCAATTCACTCCGTGTAAAAAAATAGCTACATACCAATTCTTTCCTAGAGGGCGAATTCCCAATCCATTCTACAATTCTACGTGAAAGGTCCAGTTCCCAATCCATTTCAAACCAAAAAAACAAAACTCCTCATTGATTCCAAGAAATTACCGCAGAATAACGGGACAATTCCCAAGTCATGCGAGGTTAAAGGTAAAATCCACATGATTTCTTTGGATTTCCTAAAATTCTCTCGATTTCTGCAGTTTCCATTGATTTCCGTTGATTTCTAATTCAATTCTTTTGTTTTCCATTGAATTTTACAGCTCCCATTGAATTCTATACATTTTTTCTTGGATTTCTATGGAATTCTAGTATATTTTCCATTCATTTCAACAGATTTTGTATTGAATTCTCTAGTTTCTATGAAATTCTATGCCTTCCATTTAATTCTTTTTGAATTCTTTGGAATTCTATGGAATCCTCGGGAATTCAATGGAATTCTATCGTTTCCATTGATTTCTATTCATTTTTGTTTGGCTTCTCTGGATTTCCATGCATTTTTTTTAAAATACAGTTCCAATGATTTCTTTTGAATTCTATTACATGCTCTGGATTTCTGTGGAATTCTCATCTGGATTTCTCTGGAACTCTATAGTTTCCATTGGTTTCTACGGATTTCTATTGAATCATCTGGATTCGAGGTTCATTGAAGTTCTATAGTTTCCATTGCATTCTACGAATTTGTTTTAAATTCTTTGGATTTCTATGGAATCTTCTGGAATTCAATGGAATTCTATAGATTCCATTGATTTTTATGGATTTTTTTTTGCTTCTCTGGATTTCCATGCAATTTTTAAAAAATAAAGTTCCACTGATTTCTGTTGAGTTCTATTAAATGCTCTGAATTTCTGTTGAATTCTCATCTGGATTTCTCTGGTCTGGAACTCTATAGTTTCCATTGATTTCAACGAATTTCTTTTGAATTCTTTGCATTTCCATAGTTTCCATTGATTTCTATGCTTTTCTACTGAATTCTCCGAGATTCATTGGAGTTCTATAGTGTCCATTGATTTCTATGGATTTCTCTTGATTTCTGTGAATTTCGACGGGATTCTGTGCCTTCCATTGATTTCTGTGAATTTCTATTGAATTCTCCGAGGTTCATTGGAGTTCTATAGTTTCCATTGACTTCTACGAATTTGTTTTGAATTCGTTCGATTTCTATGGAATCTGGAATTCTATAGTTTCCATTGATTTCAACGGATTTGTATTGAATTCTCTGGTTTCTATGAAATTCTATGCCTTCCATTGATTTCGTTTTAAATTCTTTGGATTTCTATGGAATCCTCTGGAATTCAATGGAATTCTATAGTTTCCATTGATTTTTATGAATTTCTTTTGACTTCTCTCGATTTCCATGCAATTTGTTCAATACAGTTTCCACTGATATATTTTGAATTCTATCTGTTGGATTCTCATCTGGATTTCTCTGGAACTCTATAGTTTCCATTGATTTCAACGAAATTCTTTTGAATTCTTTGGATTTCTTTGGAATTCCATGGCTTCCACCGATTTCTACGGATATTTAAAGAATTATCTGATTCATTGGATGTCTATAGTTCCCATTGATTTCAATCGATTTCCCTCAAATTCTTTGGATTTCTACGGTATTCTATACCTTGCATTGATGTCTATGGATGTCTATTGAATTCACGCGAAGTTAAAAGGCAACATAGAAATCCGTAGAAATCAATGGAACATATGGAATTCCATACAAATGCAAAGAATTCAAAAGAAATTTGTTGAAATCAATGGAAACTATAGAGTTCCAGAGAAACCCAGATGAGAATTCCACAAGAATCCAGAGCATTTAATAGAATTCAAAAGAAATCATTGGAACTGTATTTAAAAAAATTGAATGGAAATCCAGAGAAACCAAAAAAAAACATAAAAATCAATGGAATCTATAGAATTCCATTGAATTAAATTCCAGAGGATTCCATAGAAATCCAAAGAATCTAAAACAAATTCGTAGAATGCAATGGAAACTATAGAACTTCAATGAACCTCGGAGAATTCAGTCGAAAAGCATAGAAATCCGTGGAAGGTATAGAATTCCATAGAAATCCAGATGATTCAATAGAAATCCGTAGAAATCAATGGAAACTATGGAATTCCATAAAAATGCAAAGAATTCAACAGAATTTCGTTGAAATTCATGGAAACTATAGAGTTCCAGACCAGAGAAATCCAGATGAGAATTCAACAGAAATTCAGAGCATTTAATAGAACTCAACAGAAATCAGTGGAACTTTATTTTTTAAAAATTGCATGGAAATCCAGAGAAGTCAAAAGAAATTCATAAAAATCAATGGAATCTATAGAATTCCATTGAATTCCAGAGGATTCCATAGAAATCCAATAGAATGAACCTCGGAGAATTCAATAGAAATTCACGGAAATCAATGGAAGGCACAGAATCCCGTCGAAATTCACAGAAATCAAGAGAAATCCGTAGAAATCAATGGACACTATAGAACTCCAATGAATCTCGGATAGAAAAACATAGAAATCCGTGGACGGTAAAGAATTCCGTAGAAATCCAGATGATTCAATTTCCAAATCATGCCAGTTTTCAGGGTAAAATTTTCAATTCATGAAAGAATAATTTTCCTTAACTTGTTGTAACCCGTCATACGATGACAGAAACGAAAAATAATTCCGATTCTTTAATATCGAGTTGCCAGCGATACGTGATTTGTTTTGCAATTATCAAGTTGGGATCAAGGTTGAATTGATGTTGAATCGAGATAAATTATGAAATTTGTTCTTTGATGAGTAAAGTCTCATCAAAAAATGTATTTGAGGGAAATTGAGTTGGTTTTGAGTTGATTTTGAGTTGATTTGAGGAAATTTACGTTTTTTTATCTTAAAAAAAATCGGTTGAATTTGAGTGAATTTGAGGTTGCGCCGAGTGAATTTGAGTAAGATTTGAGGTTTCAAGGTATAAACTCAAATCTACTCAAAATCCACTCAAATCCTACTCAAACCATAAAAAACGATAGATTGAGGTGGTTTTGAGTAAGCACTCTTACCTCAACCGGACCTCAAACCGTAAAATTCCTCAACCGTAACTCAAAGAATAAAAAACAAACTTCATTTGAGCCTCAGCTGAGGCTCAAACGTATATCACTGACTCAACCGTACCTCAGCCACACCTCAACCGTACCTCAAAGCCATTTTCTCAACACTTGCCCACGGCCATTTGCCTCCCCCCCCTAACCATTCTATGACTACTGGGTCATCTTCAGTCTTGCTCATTTCCCGATATTTGATGATTATATAATATGTATAATATTATATTATCTCAAATCAATATGAAATCCACACGCTAACTGTCAAAAGTGAGGACTTACAGTGACTTAAAGTGGGTAAAAGATCAAAAGTGTGAACTTAAAGTGACTCCATGTGAAGACTTTACTGTCAATCAGAGTACTTAACTGTTGACTTTAGTGTCAAACATGTCAATTTCATATTGGTTAATTTGATATAATTTAAATATCAAACATCGGGGAATGACCAAGACTGAAGATGACCCCATGGAAAACCAGCTATTTTGCCAAGCATCCAGACATGAATCTGATAAAGCGTCAAATTTGGCATTCTGGCTTCTATGAAAATGGGGTCTATCTATCCGTAACATGATGACGAACCTTTGATATAATCTTGGGGTGGCTAGCTGCTTTAGCTCGTTCATCAAGGCATGGTACGTGGTACCACAGGTTGAATGGTTCCATTTTGAATGGCGTGGGCCATCCCATTTAGCAATGATGCTCCATCCATGTTCATCCATGAATGGTTGGTTTGGGAAAATTACTGGAATCCCCCATATGTCATGGGAAAAACATGGAAAAACCTGTAGATTCTCCCTGAAAAAAAACAAAATTCAATGATGGTCCATTTGTAGTTTTGCAGTTTTCAGACCGTTAAAATACGCCCGATTTTGTGTTGCCATTGCAACATCTTCCTTCACTAGGAATCCAACCATGGAAGTCGTAGAGGGGTCAGCATCCTATGGCGGCTGTGACTATGATGCGATTGCGGCTCTACAGGAGGATCTAGCGATTGCGGGATTCTTGAGAGAGTACGTGGCTCCCGGTTGCAAAGTCCTAGACCTGGGCTGTGGCACTGGGCTATTGCTGGAGCTGCTAGCTCTGCAGCCGGAGCATTACCTCGGCATCGATCACTCCGAGAAGAAGTTGGAGGAGTTGCAGAGCAAGTTTCCGGAGCATGAGACCAAGAAAAAGGCCTTTGGAGCAGAAGATTTGGAGGATGTTGATGTGGCAGTTTCATTATTCGGACCCATCAGCTACGTCGATCCAGACTTAGTCTTCCAGCTGGTCTCCAGCGGTGTGAGCTACTTCCTGATGTTTTACAAGGAAGACTACCGACCGGTGACCTATGACACGTGCCAAGTCCATTCCTATCCCTTCGAACGATACAATCTTCCAAGTCAAGACTTCGGCAGTTTTGCGGTGGTCAGCAACCTCCGCACTCCAGATGGATCTTTGGCATTTCCCCGCCAGTCCTTGCGAAGAGCGGAGCGGGCCAAAACCGAGCCTTCCGGGGTCAAGTTCAAGCCGAGTGGTGGACTTTCCGCCGAACTTGAAAACTACCCCTCGGACAGAGCCGTGCTGCTGAAGGGACACGGCAATGCGAAGGGTTCGTCCCTGGGGGGAACGATCGTGACCATGCTGAATGCCTATATGGGATCTGGAATCTTGGTGATTCCCTATGCCTGGAAACAAGCTGGCTGGCTCTATGTGCTTCCCTTCCTCGCGGTGACGATGATGATGACCTTCACCCTGTGGCTCATGGGTGTTCTCTTCCGCCTTGTGGACGCTCGAGCCAACGAGATGAATGTGCCAATGGTCAGCCGCGACTGGGGGATGTTGGGTCAGATGGCTTTCGGAAGGTGTGGCCAGCTGCTGTTCTCTGGTTGTGCCCTTGTGGATCTTTATGGCGGCTTGTTGTCAGGAGTGATCGTGGCATCAAATCAACTGCAATTTCTATTCCCTTCCCTGTCAACTGCAGTTCTCAGTGTTGGCTGCTTTGGAGTTCTCCTCATACTGGTCTGCGTGCAAGCTAGGCATTTCTCTTCTTTAGCAGTCGTTGGTTTGGGTAGCATGTTGATCATCGTGTCTTGCCTCCTGATCAACGGTGGCGAGCTGGTGGCCCTTGGTGAGGCAGCGGAGGACCAGGTGATGGTGAACTGGGCAGGACTTGCCCCAGCAACAGGGGTTGCCATTTACACCTTCATGGTGCATTCAGAGGCGGCCTTGGTCTATCAGCTGATGGAGGACCGCTCCCAATGGGGCCAAGCTGTACTGTGCAGCACGGGCCTTGCGGCGGCATTTTTTGTGGCTCTTGCAATGCTGTGCTACAGTTTCTTCGGCGATGGCACAGCGCTGTCCTTCCCTATGAATTTGGGCCGCAGTCCATTGAACCTGCAGCTGCTACCAGGAGAACTCAACGGTGCCATGAGTGCCCTCTGCCTGATCAGCGTGACGCTGAAGTTGCTGCTAAATGTGCCATTGCTGGCAGCTCCCATTCTGGAGCATTTAGAGGAGTGCTTGCGCCTGGGCTGCTGGACGAAGGTCCTCTTCTCTCTGGTCACCGCCTGCCTGTGCCTCTTCCTCCACGATGATGCAGCCTTTGTGATCGAACTCGTGGGCATCGTGCCCCAGAACTTCATGTGTGCCGTGCTGCCGTGCGCGGCCTTGCTGAAGCTCAAAGGAGACTTGGGAGGCTTTCGAAGTTGCATCCTTTGGTTGCTGATCGTCAGCTTCGCTATCTATGGCCTGGGTGCAACTGTGGCGGCTGTGTTGGAGAATGTGTCGAAGAAGCTGGGACTCGACGTCGCATAAGGTGAAGCATTGACTAATTGAATACCTTGGCTCACCCGCAGCCCTGTTTGCTGATTTACTCAGCAACAAACTGGAATTAGTGGTGGTGATTCTTGGTTGTGCCATCCCTATAGGTGAGCTGGTGATTTTGACCAGCTTGAAACCTTTCTGATGTGCAGCCATTCTTGCGACTTTCATTCTTTTGATTTTTCCGCATTCTTAAAACCAGTGCCCCGTTGAAATGGTTCATCTGCGAAATATACAGATGCACAGACGCAGTGACCACTCAGGCAGCGGTAATTGAGATGGATTTTGCTGTGATTTCTTTGTATAGAGGCGTACGGCTGCCAGTGCTCCTGCGACCGGATGCCATTTTGACATCTCATGACCGCCTCTCCACCAGGTTACGTGAAGGCAAGCAAGTTGAAAAAATGATGGTCCATTTGTGGCGCATATTTTTTGACTCTTGACTCTTGCCCAGTTTTGTTCGTTTCTGTCCCCCCCCTTTTGCTGCTCAAATCCACAACTTTGCCCTTTAAGTCAGTCCAAATCTTCATCTTCGTTGCTTAAAATCCCTATTTTTTTCCCCTTAAACAGCCTATTGAAATCCACAATCTAAGATTAACATCAGCCTATTTCAAAGTGAACATTAATGATCAAAAAATATTGCTGATCATTAATGATCAAACAATCCCTAGGTGATTAACATCAAAATTAACATCAGCAATCTTTTCTCCAACACATCTTGATCAAATCGGTGACCTGGCTGGTGAACAGCTCCTGGCCAGGTTTTCAAACCTTCAGTCCAGTGGTGAGCCCGGAGAAGCGCCCTGGCGTTCGATCTATGGTGTAACAACCCCCATTGAAAAATGGGAATGGGTCAATACCTATTAATACCATTTTTAGTGGGATGAACATCCATAAATCCCAGCTATTTTGATGTGAACTACAGGGGTACTATTGGTTTTGACACACTGCTAAATGAAAAAGTGTTTCCAGGATGTTAGTTCGATGATGTTTCCCTCCATATTTTCCGATTCACTGTTCGATCTTTTTGGCGGGTGCTATGATGGTATTGAATGGCAAACTTCATGGGAAAATGGGGATATTAGTGACATTTACTTAATTTTGATTTGCCTAAATGTTCCAACAACTGGAAATTCATGGTGCTTAAGACTTCCAACTAGTTTGCTCTCTCGCTTTTTAGGTTTTGTTGTGATGCAGCTATTCGATGCTATTTGTGGAATTTTGTCATACGTCCAGCCATTGTGGGAATCTTGCTGGGCATGGGTCACAATGGATCCAAAGCCATTCTCGAAAAAAGGGTTGCAAGCGGCAGCTGTCAGCTGCATTTTCTTGATTCCATGGCTGAAGCGTTAGACCCAGTGTCTGGGTCAATTTCTCATTCCGAGATTTGGTTCATGTTTGTACCTTGACCCTCCCAGAACCTAGGTACCTGGGGTATATGGTCCATCAGCCCTAGGTGCTTGGTCGCCAAGGGAGCGGTTGCCACCCTGGAGAGCTGCAAGGGGAAGGAGAGATGGTGGAAATTTCCCTACGGCCCTCGCTGAGCCGAAAAAGAGTCGTTCTTCGTCGGTTTTTTTTGGTGCCGTTGAGCGGAGGTGCCACAGCCCATTGGATGTTACCCTCTGGTAATGACTAACATAGCTATTGAAAATGACCCATTTATAGTGAATTTTACCATGAAAAAATGGTGATTTTCCATAGTTACGTTAGTTTACCAGAGGGTAAAGATCGAAGGAAGATCTTGAGAGTCCAACTGGTGATCAGCAGGAGAATAGGGGGATGTATGTCATACTGTCATACCCAGCAGAGTAACTGTTTTTTCTTCGGGTCTCAAAGGCTAGACATATGATCCAAGTCTTTACTGTAGAACTGTTGAATATTGGAGTTGCATAAAGCCACGGGCCTTTTGAGGCCGGATTGGGAGGGAAGGAAATGGGCAGCAAACCGCTAAGCTGGATGTGCCAGAAGCTGGAAGAAGTTCCAATCATAGTTGGAGGTCTGACCCCTGAATTTTTCACATCACTTGAGATGGCGATGTTGAACAGTTTTGTGGCACTTTTTTTAAGCACATTGTTGTAGAATTTGTTGGAAGCCATTTGAGTTGAGGGTGTTGGGTGCCACCAAAATGATCCAGGCGCAACAAAAAATCTCTGGTGGAACGCTCAGTTGGGTTTCAAGTCAAACATCTGATTTTCTGGTGCTTTGAAACAGGATGTCCTGTCTCTAGGATGATCCCCAAGTAAAATAAAAGAGGAGCATGCCACGTGAGTTTTGAAGCGGTGAAAGGTCCATATGTTTTTCGATACGGCAGAGCTCCGGGACTCTCTACCCTCTGGTAATTTAACAAAGCTATTGAAAATGGTCTCGTAATTTGTTAGATAGCTATTGAAAATCGCCCATTTATCGTTGATTTTCCTATTAGAAGTGGAGATTTTCAATAGCTATCTTAGTCATTACCAGAGGGTATACTGGGGTGTTGGGAGCCGTAAATTACATAATTTTTGAATGGAACCTGAACTGGCTGCTGGTGTCATTGATTCTTTACTTTTCACATCTTTTCACCATAGAAATGGCTTGATGCTCCCAATGACAATCATCTTTTAATTATGTGTTTAACCACTTACTAGGTGGTGTGCTCCCATATTCTCCTTCAGATGGATGGCACACCGAGGTGGCAATCCTTCGGAGCCATTGACGTGGACATCCACACCGCGTGTTGGGGGTCCATGGATTCTTGACGTGCCGCGTTCAGATTATGTCTAGTGTATCTTCATATTAGATGATGTAAGTATGTAATTATATATAATTATATATATATATATGTTTATACATGTATGTATGCATGCATGCATGTATGTGTTTCTATGTAATGTGTATGTGTATGTGTACATGTGTATATGTCTCTATGTAGATATGTATATATAATGTTCATATGTATGTATATGCGTATATCTGTACATATGTGTATATTTGTATGTTTGTAGATATGTATATATGTTGCACTAATTACACTGCACTAGAGATACAGTAGATAAATAGATTGACAGAGGGAGAGATAGAGAGACACAGAGCCTCAAGCACCTTTCGGTCAGTGGGTTCGCTCTGCGAATCCATGCCTCACAGCAACTCACCTCTGATATAGTTTCCTATCTTTAAAACTTCCGCCACCGCCTTTTGGCCTGGCGATGCTGGCATCTAGTGCGATGCGTTCACCACTGTCTGTTATTTTGCCTCTAAGATTTGCTTCAAAACAGACAACAAGGCCCGATTTATGGCAATTTTAACAGGGAAGACATCGGATTTGATCGGATTTTGTGGGGTATCCATGGGTATCCTATTTTCAAGCCTTGAAAATCCGTAGAGAATCCCTGTCAGGTCGTGAATGATGTGGCGCGGCTTGCTGAGGTGCCAAAGATTGAAAGTTTGGGGTTAGGGTTTGCCATAGAATTCAGCGCGAATACGATTCAAGATTCATGTTTTTGTGGCCTCTCTTCATGGTCTTTAGCAAATAACTGTTCTCTGATGTCGTTTTATAGGGAAGACCCCTTATAGACTCCCTGGTTCCAGCTCCGTGAAAGTGAACATGGAACATCCCCAAACCATATGTGTCGGAAAGATCATGTCCCCCCTTTCATGAAAATTGTCAGGGTTCATGTTCACTTTCATTTCAGTCCATGCCCAAAACTATGGATATTGGTGTTTGGGGCTCCAGCCGGGTTCAGCTGACCCCATCTCTTTCGCACGACGCCAGGAGTTACACCAAGCACGGAGCGCGGCCATGCACCAAACTCGCATGGAGGTCGGCGTGGACAGGTGCAGGTTGTAGGTGTCCAGACACCCGTTACTGATGTGTTGCCCAATAGGCGGATGGTTTATTTCCTGGAACATCCTATTAAATGGATGATTTGGGGGTACCCCTATTTTGCCAAGAAACCTCAATATTTCTGTTGACTTGGATTTCCAAGATACTGTGGATGGGCCAGCGAAATCCTGCACCAGGTAGGGTAACTATTGGGATTTCTATGAAACATTGAACAAAAAATGAGATGATGTTGGGATGTTTACCATCTATCAATTGAATCAATTGGCGCAGGATTTCGCATCCACTGTATGGCCCACCGTTCTGATCAGCAAATCACGGCTGAATCCCGGCGAATCCAGGTCCACCGAGCGGAGGCCATTGGCGCCTTGGAGTCCCAGGCGCCGGATGAGCCGGATGAAAAACATCCATGAAGACATGGGATTTTCAATTCTACCCTCTGGTAAACGTTTACATAACTATGGAAAATCACCATTTTTCATGGGAAAACTCACTATAAATGGTGATGTTCTATAGTTACAGTATGTTAAATTACCAGAGGGTAAACCAACCTTTTTTTTATGGCGTAGGCATCAAAAAAAAAATAAAAATGCATCAAAAAAAATAAAGGACGAAAGGAAGGAAGAAAGGAAGAAAGGAAGAAAGGAAGGAAGGAAGCAAGGAAAGAAAGGAAGAAAAGAAGAAAGACAGGAAGGAAAGAAGGAAGGAAGGAAGACAGAAAGGAAGGAAGGAAGAAAGGAAGAAAGGAAGGAAGAAAGGAAGGAAGAAAGGAAGAAAGAAAGGAAGAAAGGAAGGAAGGAAGCAAGGAAAGAAAGGAAAGAAAGGAAGAAAAGAAGAAAGACAGGAAGGAAAGAAGACAGGAAGGAAGACGGAAAGGAAGGAAGGAAGAAAGGAAGAAAGGAAGGAAGAAAGGAAGGAAACAAGAAAGGAAGAAAGAAAAAGGAACCAAAGAAGAAAGGAAGGAACAAAGAAAAGAAGGAAGAAAGGACGGAGACGAGAAAGGAAGGAAACAAGAAAGGAAAGAAATAATGATGTAATATTACATGCATAAGAGATCATTCAAATTACATGCAGGCATCACCGTAGCAGTTGCGTACTGTTATTTATGTATATGTATATATACATATATATATGCATTTATATACACACTTATATATTTATATTTAAATATATTTATATTATTTATATTTTCTGTTTATATTTTTATATACATAGTATTTCTATTTATGTTCAATTTCAAATATATATATATATACTTACATATAGAAATATGTAAATATATACATATACTTATATTTATGCATGTATATATACACTTAAATATTTATATATATATATATGTATTTATATTTATATATTTATATTTACATATTAATATATATATATATTTATGTACTTACATATATACATACACACATTCATATGTATATACATATAACTGTATGTATATATATAAATGAGTATGTATCTACAAGTATATATACTGTATTCCACATGTTTCCAGGGTGCATGTCGTGTAGTCTATACACCTTGAGTATCACATTCAAGCCAGCACCTTGCATGTGAAAATAGGTGTTTCCAAT